CCTCCGCCCCCTTCTTTTTTTCTTTTCATTCTTTTGACACCGGTCGTGACGAATATTTCAAAGTTCGATTTTTATTTTCGTCGCGCTGTACCTCTCGATTCCATCCGCCACCCCCAACGATCGAGCTCGAGCTTTTTTAAACAACTCGCATCACAATCCCCTTTTCCCTTCTTTCCCCTCCCACCCCCCCCCTGCCTCACTCGTTTTCATTTCTTTTTCCAATTACCCTCGACGGCCACTTATCCTAAATTACTTGCGAATTTCCAGAACAGACATCGACCATCGAATTCGACTCGCGGATCTTCGAAACGCGTGAATCTCCGCTTTTCAAGGAACACCGGCTTGTTTTTGCAGATTCCGCGAGGGATGGTGGAGAGAGAACCTAACCTAAGAAAACCAACTTAAAACACATTTTTAGTACGTCCAGATTGTATTATGCAGAACATCGGGATTATTTACGCACTTATTAATTAAACTAAGTTGTTCGTTATTTTTTTTTTAGAGTGGATAGTTAAATAAAATAGGTTTGAATCACTCGCGCAATAATTACAGTTCGAGAATAAGTCCGAATTTGACCGATTTTCGATCATTTGAAAAGATCAGGGTCAAAGTGAAAAACGTATAATTCTCGAAACCGATCTTAATCCTTCGACAACGTGAAAGAAATTTTTTCTTTGTTCCCCGACTGTTATCAGTCGGTAGGTAAGGATCTCTTTCTTTTCTTTTTCTTTTTTTTTTCTTTTTTTTCTTCAGTCTTCGCTTCGTCGTTGCGAGACAAAAAGAGGAAGATTCGATTGAGCAGATTGCGTTAAACCTCGGACGTGAATCGAGGCCGACTTTTCATCAGTTTCATCAGTCTCGGTTGATAATCGGCCGCGAGGCCACCTGAGGGAGGATCAGCAGCGAGCTCCGATTCTCCCATAGGCATGCTAATAATCGCGACGGTTCGGTAAATCACCAGGTTGCCGCTGTATATACACGGCCGTGGGATGATTTGTGGATTGGATGCGGGCTCCGGTACGTGCACGCAAACCGCTTACTTCCGCAAATCGATGTGGATTATAAGAATTATTGGCCGCTCTAAATGGCAAATGGGTGTGATATAGATTTTATTGCTGTCACGTCGTCTGTAACGATAGTACGACGGTAACGTTGCGCTCGGTTATTACCGACCGAGTCAGACGCTGACGATTCCTCTGGCCCCCTGTGCATCCCCCGTGAATTTCTGTACGTACGGGGGAGGGGGGGGG